AACAACTTTACTAAAACATGCATCATTGGTGAATCATGAATTATTGAATAAGGAGACAAAAAAAGTAAAGAATATCCTAAATTTTTCAATAAGAAAGCACTCTGAAGTGATAGCGACAATGACATATGAAAATTTCTGAGAATTAAGATGAAGTGACCTGCAATGCCCCAACATTTGCCCCAGTGACATTTGCTCTATGCTTTATTTAATCAAAGATATAGGCAGCAAGAGTTGTTAGGTCCAACATTGAAGTTAAGAAATCGGTCGAGTGTAGGATGTTGACTGCATAGCAGTTGTCACCAAAACAACTGTTGTAAAACCACCCTGGCACTCAATGTATGAGGCCTCCCTCTCTTGGTCACCCTTGGCAGTACGTTAGTAGGCTAATGTTGATATCAGACAGAGCACTGGCAAGCCACGCCTTCCAAATTTGCCCCCTAATACATGTAAAAGTTGCATACTATATTGTACTGTCACTTTAAACGAATATGATTTAAAGAAATCAATAATTTTTTTTAGAGTGAACGTAGAAGTGATTGATTTCTCAAGCTTTGAAAATATTATACTGATAAGCTAGTTTCAAGAAGAGCTTTTGTTTGTTTCACATGTTGAAAAAGACAATCTGTTTGTATTTATGTTATTATTTTGTTTGTGAACATATTGAATTAGGCAGAACCTTGCATTATTTACTTGAAAATTGCATTCTGTATGATAAAGAAATACTTGTATTCCCTTCTCCTCCCCCTCTTTTTGTTTGTTACCTTGCTGTCTTTAACACATTTTGATTGATTTTCCATGAAGCCACCACAAATTAAACAGTCGTTTTAAAATAGCCTTCTTAACAAAAGTAAGACCTTTCAAAAGTTAAGTAATTTCTCCAAAATACTATAAGTCCAGAGGGCTTGGTTCTTGGCTTCACCTGTTGTTTACGTCCTACATCACCAGTCCAAAATTCCTGTTTGGACCTGTACTCTGAGATAACACAGGTAACAGTGCTGACTTGGCATTTTTAATTGATTGCTGTTTGAAATGTTTGTTTACTGGCCACAGCTCACCTGCCTTGAACCCACAGCTAGTAGAGAAAAGTGTCACAATCAATTCTCTCTGATTTAGAGAACAGGACAAATATTAAAACAGTGAATATTGTGAGTGGATGTTTGCTGTAATGGAGCCTATAAATGAACTTGGATGAGAGTTGTGAGTCATCATTTTCAAAGTCACCTTAATAGAAAACATTGCTAATGTCCTAAGTAACAGTATAGTAAGAATAGTTTACTGAAACAAGATAATGAAGGAAAAATTATTCTTATTCTATGCAGCAATGATTTACCTGACACCATCTTCACCTGCACAAAGTAAAATAAATTCAAAATATACAGAAATTAATAGAAAGAGAGAGAGATAGAGAGAAAGAAAAAGGGGAATCCACATAATGGAATGATAGGAAAAGAAGAAATGACAGATGAAGAAAGAATGGATGACAGAAAAGAGAGTCATACCATGACATTCATCTTCTTGTTGACATCTTACATAACCTTCTATGAAACATACTTGATTTTAGCTACTACGCACTTGTGTATGTTGACATTAATTAACCCCTGACCTACATTCATATCTAAAGAAGATAACTATCATTATAAAACACACACAGACAAATCTAGGCATTAATTGGATATATATTGGAAGCTGTGAAATTCAGCATTAAATAATCATTACGAATAGATTCTCAAACTATTTGAATGGAATTGACATATTACCATAATATAATAAACATAACGTACATGCAGTACCATCTAATCATAAAACACTATATCATCACAAATATCCATTATCTTACACCTTTTTAAGCTTTACCAATTCCTTGCAAAGGGTTATGACTCCTGAATACGTTTTGAAACTTTAACTTCTATTTACATTGTATTGATCATGAGGTGTACATGATCAGATTCCAGCTGAAAATTGTTCAAACACCTAATGACCCAACTCTAAATAAAAGGTCATTGAAATGGGTAAGTTTGCAAAGCTATAGTGTTGCATAAAGCAGTCCTTTTGTCAAATGGTTCCTACTGTTTTGTGCAAAATTGCGATGAAAGCAACTAAAGTGTAAACTGGTTTGATATGATCTCATGTTGATACAACAAACATTTCCCATGGTCACCAGCCAAATATTTCTTAGACTAACTAATAAATAAGTTAAGAAGAGAAACTGCAATTTTATCTTTACTATTCTTTCTTTAGCAGATTCAAAACTTCTTATGGTTGAAATATAAAACAAATATTTATAGAAGTCTCCTTAAGTAATATCTATCCCTGTCTCCATGTATTCTTATGGCTCAGTTCTCCATCAATCGTCTAGTTCTATCTAGGAATACATCACTTTCTTTCTTTCTTTCCCAATCCCTGGAATGATCCTAGGGTGAATCAGAAGATAAATATAACCCAACTCCGTCACGGCATGACCCATTTGAAAACAGAAGTGCCTGGATTACGGGCCAATCAGATGGTAACAAAAGATCTTGTTTCCATATGTCCAAAATTACAAACCCACTTCGTTTTAAAAATTTTAAATCTTGACTGAGAGACAGTTCCCTTTATATGCAATGGAACACACATTAACTCTTTTGTTGCTTAAGTTGATTTCCTGAACAGGCATAAGACTGCTGTAGTTAACTTTTTTTGCACATAATTTGTCTTTGAACCCAATTTGAGAAAGGGAGCACCAGGATGATATGCCAATTGTAAACAAAATTACATTGCACCACAGAGGTATCCATTTTAAAGCTTGAAGTCCTTTAACTGAAATGTGTCCTCCATTAATATGGGCAGGGAGCAATTGTCAAAGACGGGCAGCAGTTGAAAAAAGATTCTGTCTGGGGTACATGTTTTAACCCTTTGCTTACGGGAACCTGGTGGTCCCTGTGTTAAGCCTATGGGACCTATACAATTCAGTAGTCAACAGGTTAATAAATCCTTACTTTCTTGCCATTAAAAGAAGTTTAAAGTTTCCTTCCAATGCAACTGCTATATAGACACTACTTTGTTTAGTATGAAATGGGTTAACAGATGCACATCCGCATGAAGATATCTGGCAAGTGTAGAATTGTGCGGGGATTCAAACTGCCTAATATGAAGAGGAAGTCAGGAAGTCTGCAATTCTAGAGGTTTTTTAGAGACACGATCGACCTGTATTTCCGGCTCAGACACGTTCAAATTACTTTTTAGAGAATTGTACATTTGCTCCATCTTTTTCCCCTTCCTTGTCATTTCAAAGTTCAAGACAATCACACTGTTTGAATCATCCAATAAAGGTCTTTTAAATCATCCAATAAAGGTCTTTTAAATCTGATGTGATTCAATTCAATTTATTTGGCATCATAAAAAAATCATAAATACAGAATACATGATAGGCCAGGACCTCTAAGATGCAAATTGTGCCCCTGATATACATTTGAAACTATTTTTGGCAAATATAAGCAATTTACCACATATAAATATGGCAAGTAGGGTTGGAAAGAAGGTAGCTGTCTAGCTGAGCAGACATGGGCTTGTACACCTATATAGGCAGCATTTCACAAAACCGCATGTTTACCGACATCCCATTCAAACACTGTTTTGTCATTTACACACGTTTCAATTGGACGTTGATGAAATTGTACTTAGGACGGATGGTGAAACGATGCCCAGATCTTTTATGTGTGCGTTTGTACAACATAGAAACGTGAAGCAGACTGCACTTTTTAGCATGTCAATTCATATTGCTGTTGTGGATTATCTTAAAAGCGGTTTGATGTGCTATGAATCATGTGAATAAGGCTCCATTGTATGAAACATAATGCCTATAGGCAGGCTTCTCCAATTCAATACACACACTTATTCCTATCTTAACCCAATTCCGTAACATGAATGTGAAAGAAATGTGAATCACAGTATTTTAATTTTAACTAATCAACCTAGCTTTTATAGGTTGTAGTGAAATAATTACTTAAGATATTAGGCTCCTTACACTTCTACTCAGATTTAGGAAAGAGAGACAGGAAGAGAATACTCATTTTATTTATTGTCCAACAGATTCATATGTGGTAGATTCAAGTAAAACAATTGTTATAATATTTGGCTTACGGATACTTCATATATATCTTTACTGAGAATTTTAAAAAAGAGACATAAAGGATCAGAAATTGAAAAGGCTTGCAATTGATGAATATTCTGTAATTCTTTGTACATACTTTTACAAATGTAACACAGGAAATATAAACAACAGAAGAAAAACTTCTACCCTTTAAGGGCATGACTTTGTCATCTATTATGACTAAGATGGAGGGAATCACCTTTGAAGAGGAAGTCATAGAGTTATCTTTTCACTAGAGTTTATAACTGGAGGCATAATTACACATTATATGAAATTTATTTGACTCATCATAGTCTAAAGGTCATTTTTTTCCTGCCTACACAATACTCCCCCACTTGCTTACAATCGCAAAAGGTAGTAGTAGTTGATTACTCTATCAGACAACCTGTTTCGCAGAATGCTAATTTGCCACAAGGTCCATAAGAAATACAATCAAGATAAAAGGTGTGTAGCTTTTGACAAAGAGTAACAATTCTGATGTCAATCTCTATCTCCAGCCAGAACTCAAATAAAAGTTGGTTACAAGAAATTTATTCCTCGAAGGAACTGACATTTCCCCTGTAGCCCTTTTTGTATTCTACTTTGTCCCAGAAATGTATCATCTCAAAAGGGCCGTAACTAATAATCTGGCTCTAAACACATCATATACTACCCTGTAAGACAAATGTTCCTGTTGAAAATTGGGGGGGAAAAGGCTTCCTAATGAAACAAAATCATGAGGATTGCTTCCAGCAGATCAGGATCATAATGAGAGAGAAAGAGAGAGACATAAATAGAGAGAAACAGAGGCAAAAAGTGAAAGAGATAGAGAGGAGGGGGCAGATCGGGAGACAGACACAGATAGAATGCGGATAGAGATTGAATGACTCACCCTAGAAAGGCACCTCCTGTTCCTGGAGCAGAGGCGGACCAGTTTTTGCTCTGAGGTGGAGAGCTTGTTAGGATCCTGTTCCTCATCACCAGAGCTGATGGTGATCTGGCTCAGACGTTTGTACTCATGTTGGAGCTTGTTGATAGCATCCTGCAAGGCAGTGGCTGTTGCCTTCAGCTCCTGCAACAAAGAAAAGAAAACAGAGGCTTGGTAAATTTTCATTTGTGGGAGAACGTTGGTATATAATAAGTCCTGGATTCGATCCTTGCCTAGTGCTTACAGTAAACCCTTGAACAAGGTTTTTTGTCCCTTTTGACTCGGGTGTATTAATGTGGTATTATTGGTAAAGGCTCCTGACTGACTCTCATGCGAGATTAAGTCCCTGGTATCTACATCCTTTGACAGTGTGTAATTTTACCCTCATTTGTCCCAGGTGTATTAAATTGTTACACCTGGGAATGATGGTTTAAATTATTATTTCAGGTCCCTCAGGAAGTACAGTATCAATGCTGATGAGGCTACCCTGGGTAAACAAGACAAGATTATTAGATCAAAGGGTTGAAAAGACACAAACTAAAACAGCATGATGCAACACATCCAAGTAGAATACATGTGCAAGTAGAGTTTCATGCACAGTAACAGCAAAGTATACATTTCACTGTGAAACAATTACAAATATTTGTAACCCATAATACATAGTACAAATTACAATTATCAGTAAGATCTTAGATACTTATGAGAATTTGTCACCAAATATAATTAAACAGATACTTAATGGAGAAATGTAATAAAAAAAAACAAAGCTGTGTATCTTAATCTCTTTCACTTAACAACATTTAAGACATTAAATACTTAAGCTGAACTGCTAAAATGTCTAGATATTGATTTTTTTCTCCATGTGTACTTGTGGACATATATGCCTAAGAGTGCACTCTAATACTGTAAAGTGTGAGTGACATTTGACATTCTCTGGAGGATGCCATGAGTTTCATGGCACTTTCATCCATCGACACCTATCTACCCCCATGGTCCTTGGGTATGCACCCCTCCCAAGAGTGTAGGGAAGGCTCCCAGGGGTACCCATGCAAGGATTGGTGAGGGGTAAGGAAACCCACAAGGGGGTAGTACTAGTCTATAGATAGAACCATGGAGGAACATGGAAAGGAAGTGTGCAGGCTGACAACATGGAAAGAGAAAACAGAATGCCATTGAAAATGCTAACTACCTGTTGAGTATTCTGTACCTTGGAAAAGATTTGTTCACTTAAGCTCTATTTGTACATTCAATGTTTTATTGTAAGGCAGCTGAGTAGTGTTTGTAACTATGGACCTACTACATCCATGGTGTAACACACTCAAAAAATAAAGAGGCAACTTTAAGAAAAGTGAAATACATAGAGAAAGAGAGAGAAACATTTGAGCTTATCCTGTTATAAATTGTTTTGTCATGTCCTGTCTTATCTTATTATGTCAGCTTCCTGTCCTTTGTGTCTCGTTTTGTCATTCTTTCGTTTATTTAGACACTTTAAAATGGTTTATGAAAATGTGTTATTATATCATATTTATTTTCAGTACCGTGATTATTAAGACACTTTAAACATGACTTATGAAAACAATGTTCATATATATTTATTCTTGGGAACCTACCCCCAAAAAAGCTATGCTTTCTAGTAGGTTCCTGTTTCATTTTATAATTTTGAACTTACTTTGTCAACTATGTTTATGAAATGGAATAAAATTGAATCAATTAATCAACCAATCAAAAAAAGAAAGGGTGCACTTAATAATGACAACATGAAAGGGAGACTGATAGCACCAAAAAAAGCCCTGATAGATGAAGCAAAGGTACAAGTGCAGAAGGAGATGGAAGGAAATGGGAGATAATTGTAAAAATGGTATGTTAAAAATGGAGGAAAAAAAAACTGGTTTCAATATACTACACAGATACCCTCAGAAGCTTACACCGGTAAAACGAAACAAAAGACTAGAAGCATAGAAGCTATCTTGTCCATCTTGTTCACTCTCTCCAATCAGTCAAATCAATTACAATACAGTGAACTCTTCCGTGCTCTTAGCAACTATCCAAATAGACAACCAAACAAGTTCAAAGGACTAGCTCATTTGAATGGTAATACTACGTACGCTTATAGTTATAAATCATTCCCAAATAGGACTACTAAATGTATGTGTGGAAATGCTGTTAGATATTGGTGCTGCAATGCCACTGATCAGAGAAAAAGTGACTGGCCCTTAACGTATAGACAAGCTTTGGTCAAGTAACATTGGCAATATCTCCCTATATTGTGAGTGTCTTGCCACATCTCTCTACACTTCATTAACATTTTGTCTCAGGAAATTCAGGTTAAGTTCCTATTTTAGGAAATCCAATTCTGGGAGAGAAAAGGAAGGCATCGATAAAAAAGTATTTGAATTCATTTACATGTGTTTCATCACCATGACTACTCATGACTTCTGGAAAGTTGCCGAGTATGTCTTAAAATGGAAACAATGTTGCAGTCTCACTAAATCTGTGGATTAAAGTGGATTTATATATTCTTTTTATACATTGTCTTTCATGTCATGTTGAAATACTCCCTCATACTCTTTTCAAGTATGACACTATTACTTCTTGATAATCTCATGAATATGTGAAACAAATTACAGGGCTTTCACTGCACACACCCCTCTTTAAGGAAAATATTGATTAACTTGAATATACTACACTGTGAGCATTAGCTTACATGGTCTTTGGAATATTACCGTCACTTATCAATCCATTTAATAACATCTTGAGCTGTAGTGCAAAACTGTCAAATATGTAAATGTTTTAAAGTATGATAATCTAGCCTTAAAATTACATAAACATAAGATAAAGGAAAATATTAAAAAGTGTTTCAGTTTGTTTATTTCTGGTTCATCCAATCTATTTACATATATGTTTGACATTATTATATTTTCAACAAAATGCAATAAGAAATGAAACTAAACAAACCAAGCAAATAAATGCAACTGTGACCAGATAAAACAACAACAAAATCTGAGAAACAACTTAAACAGAAACAGCTCATGACCTCATTTCAAAAGTACTGCAGAGTTTTAGGAAACACTGGAGGCAAAGGTTTGCAAAAAAGTACAGGGTACCATAAAAGTTAAAAATATCACAAACTGAAAACAAAGTAGTTCGCGGGCATGGATGCCCAGCCCCTGTGAATCATACATATTTGTGTGCCACAGAAAAGGAATGTTTTGATTCTACATAAAATCAGCAGCGATTTGGGTCGATATGAATAGAGATGTATGACACTGATACATTATATCCGTTCTTTACTCTGATTTTGGGAAGGATATGATTTGAAATGGATTAGGATAATTGGGTCAATAAGGTATCAGATTATAATTTAGATTGATGTGAGCCAATGATGCGATGATGGTAATCTATTATGTTTTAAAGATATCATTTGACACTAAAAAACATCACCAATTTGTATTTGGTTTGATTGTGTGTGCATTTATTTAAGAAAATTAAACAATACATACATATTAGAATGTCCCTTGTTAAATTATATCATGTTTTAAGAGATGTCTTTGCCTATTCTTATGTATCAGTACACATATTTTGATTGAAAGAATGAAAGGCATGACTTTGGAAAGGTTTTAAAGAGAGCTAAACTCTGTCTTATTAGGGATTATATAAATTACCTTTAAAGGTACCTCATAAACCTGTCATAAAATTGAAAAGCATGACATCAAGATGTATATATTAAGCAATGATAAGGTATCCTTTTAATGACGTCTTTACAAGGGTTCATAGCACTATGGTAACAAATGTGCCTGAAGTCAGACTGTTATTTTTCCTGTTTCTTCATAATTTTATAATCAAATTTTTATCTTTCTAATTGTATGTTGGACCCTGCTGATCATGTACCAATCAGGGGTTGTATTCTGTTAAATTAGTATTAGTAGGTTAGGGAGAGATACAATAGTACTCATAACAAATCTCAATGAGGACAAGATATTGGTTCATTTCTGTACATGGCTGGCACCACAAGAAGAATTTTTTTTTCATGTCCAAGCAAGTGTGTGTTTCACACAATTTCAAATTCTAAATCCAACTTTAACCAGTTAAAAGTAATGTCAATTTCACTGGTCAAACTATTTTGAGTAAAATTTACAAATCTACAAATGTCACTTTCACTTGATTCATTTGATCAATATCTCAATATTTATTTTAATATATATATCCTTCTTTGATTTAAGGAATTAAATCTTAAGTTGTCTGCATTCACTCTTGAAGACGATAGAACGTCTTTCATATACTTCACCCATTTGACACATTATAGACCTGTCAGTTTCAATTTATGAAAACATGTTTTGAACCCTACACAACATATGATACAGAAACCAAAATGTAAAACAGAGTAATCCATGGAAAAAACAAAGGAGAAATGGACCATGTTCAAACAAAAAGATCACCTATTTGGTGAAGTCACTCTTACTCATATATTCTCAATATTGAATTTATTTGTTTTCTCTTGTCCTTTTCATAATTTTGTCCACGTCCATGCAGGATAGCACAGTCTAGGTGTGAGTAGCTTGAACTCTTTATTATTCCCATGATGAATATTAGACAGGTCTGGTTCAGTGTTATTGTTTGAGTAACAGGTATTTGTCATTTCTCTTTGACCTGTCTAGGACATAGCTCTGTTCAGTGTTACTCTTTATTGGAAGGTAATACTTTTGAAAATTTGTTTTGAAAATCTGTCCAAAAGTTGTTAGGAGCAAGATTATAATGCTCATACAATTCATATTGTCCATGCAAAGCATTTAAATTTTGTGTAATGTACTTGGTATAGTTACATACATGTATGTTCATACAGAAACAAATTCAGGCAATGCAACTAAATTCGTATAGATCTATTCCTCTGGGCATGATGATATCTAAGAATTAAGAGTTACATGTATGTACCAGTCTGCATAGAATTCTTACATTCTTATCATAAA